CCCTGGCCCCATCCCCGCCTCTTCGACCTGTTTGTTTCCTCTCCACCTATCCTCTCCTCTATCCCTCTTCTATCCGCCTCCCGCTCTGTCCCTATTTATTTCAAAACCACCTTCCCCTCCCCCTTTTCTGATGAAGGGTCTCGGCCCGAAACGTCAGCCTCTCTGCTCCTATGATGCTGCTTGGCCTGCTGTGTTCATCCAGCCCTGCACCTTGTTGTCAATGATGGAAATATGTTTTTTCACAAAGTATCTGTCTCCAAATACATAATCCTGAGGAAACATGAAGTGCTCAGATTGTTTGTTAACTGTTCAAATGTCACCTTCAACACAAAAAAATTCAAAATAGTAGCTTTGGTTTCATGTAAATGGAATCCCTAAGTAAATATACCTTGAACAAATATGTTGACAAAGTTTTCTATGCTGCAGACATTCATAGGCTTCTCCTACTCAATTGCTTACAAGGATTAAATTAAATTAATTCAATAATCATCAAGAGACCTTACCTATTTTAATGAAACGACAGGGGAACATCTGATCATCAATTTTGTGCTTCAAGGTGAAAGTCTCCTTGTTGTAATCATTCTTTAAGCCACTGTAAATCAAAAGCAGGTTTCGTTATTAAGGGATTAACTACCTCCATGCAAAAAAAACACTGACAGCACAAAGTGGAAAATGCTCCAAGTATAGTTGTCATCTAGAAAGGAGTTATTCATTTTAGAATCACAGAAGTCTACAGCACAGGGAAAAGCCCTTTGGCCCACCTAGCGTGCACCAAACAACAACAATCTAACTGCTCTAATCCCATTTTCCAGCACTTGGCCCACATCTTTGTAGGTCTTGGCATTGCAAGTGTATATCTGAACACCTAAATGATACAAGGTATCTGCCTCAACCACCCACACATACACTCAGCTCCAGATTCCCAACACCCTCTTGATGGAAATCTTTTTCCTCACATCCCATCTAAACTTTCTGTCGGTTACAGTAAATCTAAGTCCCACTAGACAGACAAGACTCCAGCTGTGGCCTAACCAGCTTTGTCCACAGTTCCAACATAAACTCGCTGCTCTTAAAATTCTGTGCCTCTACTTATACAGGCAAGTTTCCCACGTGCCTTCCTAACCACTATCTACCTGCCTTGCTACCTTCAACGGCCGGTGGTTATGCATACCAAGGTCCCTCTGATCCGTGATGCTTTCTGCAGTCCTATCATTCATTATTTATTCTCATTTGATTTTATGGTCTCCTGTCCTGCTTATGTGCATCGCATTTATCCAGACTGAATCCCATTTGTCACTGATCAAACCATCTGTGTATCTCCTCTTCTAATCTGACGTTATCCTCCTCACTACTTAGCACTCTACCAATTTTGGCATCATCCGCAAAATTATTAAATCGACATTCCTACACTCAAGTTTAACTCATTTATATATACTACCAACAAGGGCTCAACACTGATCCGTGTGGAATCATTGGGGAGGCTTCCGGTCACATTTTTCAGTCAGATTTTGTGTCAACACCATCTGCACTTAGTCCTGAGGGGAATGGGAGTGGAAACGAGCAAGGATCTCAACTCAGAACAGTTTCAGCACTTTGTTGCACCACAGGACTAACCCCAAACAAAAATAAAAATCAAATATCCATTAATTTTTTTCATATCCAATTCAATTATTTTCGTCAGCTGGACATCATCTTTTCCTCTTATTCAGCCTCATATCAGTGATCCACAGCAGATTTTACATTTCCCTGCCAGTACCAACTTCTTTGCAGTTTCAACTTCTACTCCGTCTACATATCCAACCCACGTCAGGAAGTCGAGCTACTTCCTTCAAAAAATTCCTCGAATGAATATGCATCCACCATCATACTCAGCTCGGACTCAACTTCTCATCAGCTGAACATTCTCTCATTTAACTTACCTCCAATCTCCCCAGAGAGTTACCACCATAGAAATCCACACAGAATCATGCAGCACAGAAACAGGCCATCCATATTAATACATTTGTGCTAGTTCTTGAAAAGGAATATAAAATTAGAACCCATGCCTGACCGATGGTTAATAGTTCTGTAAACTTCTGTTCAATGCAGCTCCGATTTCCCTCCTTGAATTTTCTTCCACATCCATTACAGCATAGCTCTCAGCTTTAAAAACAAATTTTTCATTGGTCCTCTTCCCAAATACCTTAAATTTGTACCTTTGATTATTCACCTTTCTGCCATTTTGTCCCAGTGCATTATCAAAACCTCTTATAATTTTTACTGCCTGGGTGCAAGTAATTATATCCCAAACTTGATTTGCACCATTAATTTTCTATATTTAACTCAAGTTTCCAGTATTTGTACTTTTTTTTAATTTTACCAAGCAAGTATCTGGCTTGGATTTGCTGTACTTGTAGTTTCTTTTCATCCTTATGATGAAATACATTTCAGTTTACTGCATTGGTCCTCAATTCAAGACGAAATGGTACTGGCCAACAAGCAACCATTGCACACTTCAAACAACTTGCATAGTGAATGACCACCCTGAACTTACTGACCAAACTGTCACATCTCGTACAGGCTAAAGCATACCAGAGCTCCAGTTTTAAAATATCAGAAAACATCTGTTTGATCAACCATATTTATGACTTAACACTGCAAAAGTTAATTTCTTCCAAGGAATGTCAGAGTCATTGGCAAGGCCAACATTTGTTGTTCATTCTCAACTGCCTTTTAACTAAGTGACTTCCTCGCCAACTTCAGAGGGCAGTTAATAGTCAACCATATCATTGTGGATCAGGATCACATCTCGCCCAGATCTGGTAATAATGACAGATTTCTTACCCTCAAGAACATACACAAACCAGATGGCCTTTTACAACAATGATGGTTTCACATTTGCCATTCCTGAGACTAGGCTTCCATTCTAGATTTTACTAATTAATTTTAAATTCTACCCACTGTGGTGGGACTTGAAGTTCTGACCCCAAAGCACTAGCCTGGGCCTTGAGGCTACAAGTGGGCCCTGTTCAAGCCCCATCTGTTCAAAGGTGTGTCATAACATCTCTGGGCTGGTTGATGAGAAAATATCTAGGAGACAAACTGAATATTTCTATTAAAAAAAATCATTACACCATCCTTAAAAAGGTGGTTAAAGACAGTTCTGGCCGTGGAGGAAGCCTGCTCACTGCAGTCCAGATTGCTAATTAGCCTGTGCGTATAGTCACTGCTCCACAGTATTCAATGGAAATCCAAGCAGATACATTTTAAAAAAAAATCAAAATCAGCATGGCTACCTATTCAAAGGGAAAAATAAATAACTGATATCCAGCCACATCAGGCCACTAACAGCCTGTAGTAATTCACATAAAAGTACTTCAAAGCACAATTAATTAGATGGGCTGTTATCTGCATACAGACTATCCCACAACAGCAGAAAAAAGGACAATTTCTACTTACATTAGTTTACGGAAATATCAACGTAGAATACTAGGAACTCAACAGGATCATGTAATTTGCAAAAGGCTCAAGTTATCCAGAACAGACAGATCTTCTATCACGACATCCAGAAGATACCACCTCTCACAACGCAGGAGTACCGCAAAATGTCAGTGTAGATTACGTGCTCAAAAACTAGAGCTATTAGTTTCCACTACTCCATTACATGATGTGTACAATCGACACTTCTTGAATATTATCCACATTTGTGCAGTGAACCCAACGAATTGTAACGAAAGGCATTAAGGCGTCAATTCATACTTTTCGTATCAGAAACTTAAACACTCGCTTGAATGCAAACAGTATACCTGTACTGGTCATAATGCAACCCCAATACTCATGAAACCCAATGTGCTAATTTTATTGACATAAAATCGCAAGCATTTATCTGGACTAGTTGCACAGACATTAAATTATATGTTAACCTGTGCTGCGTCCAAATCACAGGTCACACAGAAAATAAACATTTCTCAACACATGAAATGAGTTTGAATTTTTTTTTCAAGAAAGCACACAAAGGGAATTCGAGAAGACAAAATTCACCTTCAGGACAGCAGTGACAACTCGCTGCTGCCTAGCAGCACCAGGGACCCAGGTTCCATTCCAGCCTGGGGCAACTGTTTGTTTTGAGTTTGAACATTCTCCCAACCTGTCTACGTGCACTTCCTCCCATAATCCGAAGATATCTCGGTTACATGGATTCACCGTACTAAAAAAAAATTGTCCCATCGTGTCCAGGGATGTGCAGATAAGGCGGGTTAACCGTAAAAAAAAAAAAACCCCATGCAGAGTTACAGACATGGTGTTGGAGTGGATCTGGATGGAATGCTCTTTGCAGGGTCAGTGCAGACCAATAGGCCAAATGGCCACTTTCTGCACTGTAGAGATTCTATGACCTTCATACAAGGCAAGAGGAGAATGACCATTTGATGGCAAGTGCAGTTGGCACTTTGGAAAGTTATCCACACATCCCATTCCAACACCCTATCCCTATATCTTTCACTTTGAAAATATTTCTAAAATCCATTACAGATTCTATTCTGCGACTTCCTCTTAGGTTTCCTTCGTTTGCTCAGACGTAGATTAAGACCCAAGACTATTTTCAACAATCTTTTCAGGACTACCACAAGATTATGCTATCTGAATACTCTTGAGCTCTGTCAATAACAATATCAAGTTTATGTATGGAAAGTATTCAATTTCTTAACCATTTGTTTTCCCACCGCAGAAGTTAATTTATTTTGCACTCTCTAATAGTCCAGTGATTTAATATAAAGCAATATTTTATTCTTCACTGCACTAACTTTTATTGACGATTCAACCGAGTTCATATTTTTTGTCTGTCCTCTTATTTTACTTGATTTTCTTTTAAAATCGTGGTCCTCAAGTTATGTGCCTCCAAGTGTCATTTTCTTTATCTGCTTATTCAAGCAAACGTAGCTTTTTTTGGACCACCATTACCAAAATAAGTTAATATTTTTAAATCACTCCAATTGTTTTCCTATTTGAATGTTTCCCATTATTTAGTTGTTAACCCGACTACTCAGTTGATTTAAATTAATTTATTTTTCATTTACATGAAATTTGTTTTCTCCCATGCAAGGTCATTGTTGTTCATTTTGGTGCATAAATATTTATAAATAATTACTGTTTTCACCACTTGCCAATGTTCCTTAGCCCCACTTGTCCCTTTTTGTTGATTTGAATTACTGTTATAACAGCCTACTATGACCCTGGTACTTCTGCCTTTCCAATTAAATTAACTGCACAATACACACAGATTATATGGTTACATCAGTTCTGATAGAATGTTTTATTTCGTCAGTTAAAATTCTCATCCATCTATTTTCTACCTGGTATTAACTAACCTAGAACTCTCAAGTCCCAGACCAGCACTGGTATGCAATGATTCTACTCTTGCTACATTATAATGTATGAAAATCAAGGACAAGAAAGGACCATCTTCTCTGTCAGATCCAATTTGTTGTGCAACTTCCTGTCCTCCCTCCAGCCACCAAGCTGCATGTTTGAGAATGCAAGGAAAATGTTGACTGAAATTAATAAGAGGTAAAAAATCTGGAAAAATGCTCTTATTTGAAGGAAAACCAAACAATTCCCTTAAGATATTTATTTACCATTTAGAGTTCTTGGTTTTTGGCATGACTTCGATCACCGCAGGGACAAAGAATATACAGTTCAAACGACTGATTTAAAGCAATCGACTGGGGTTGCTAACTCATGACGAGCATTCAATCCAGAGCTGAAATTCTAGCTCTGGTGACAGTTCAAATTATGCAATCCACTCTTTGTTCTTTATTTGAACGGTCAAACCCAAAAGCACCGGAAATCCTGACATCACACAACAAAATTGGGAGGGTATCAAACAGCGAGAGAGATAATTGACCCGAGTCCATTGCAAAAACTTACGTCAACAAAACCAGATATTCAACACGGTAGTTACCAAAAATAACTTTCATTATGTACTAAAAGGTACTCATGACCTTTCAGACTAAAAATCCTTAATTAGATCACTTATTCATTAGCAGTGATCACAAATTAATTGATTAGATACACAAAACTTCAGGTTACTGACTATAACTAACTAGGGAAGCAATCAACAAGCTAGTCCATGAAGGTCTTGACACGTTATCACTTACCTTGAAAGTAGTTCTGTCATGTTTTCTTCACTCATTCCCCCATAAACTTTAAACTTTTTCAGGTTGCACACATGGGTCTTTTCATATTTGCCAAAAGTGACGCTTTGGACTATTGCAGGCCTCTCAAGTTTCAGAATCAAGTACTGAAGGAAAATAATGCAATAATTCAAAGGGTTGAGAATATTTTTGAGAACAATTGCGCTCATAAATGAAGATAAGTGATAACCAGAAACGTAAACCAGTTAACAACACCGATTATGAAAATGCTCTGTTTTTGCCCCACAAAAAAAGACAGCAAAATTGCTCAGCTACACAAAAACATTCAGAATTACCAAGCCACTTAACTCCTCTAGGAGCACACCTGTCAAAAGAATCTGCTCGGATAAAATATTTTGAATTTCCAAGGACTTGGGCAATGGCTCACAGCACTATTACGAAGGTTGAAAATCTATAATATCAAGGGACTTGCACTACATGAACTAATTTAGAGCTGGTGAACGAATAGGCAAATTATAAAGACCACAGTATACAGCTAGTGTTAAGTCAACTGTGAGTTAAGTCTTTTTGACTTAACTTCTTTCATTTTCATTAAAGAGCTGCAGCCACTTAATGTTTTCAATCCTATCTATTGCGAGAAATACATAATAAGCGATACACAATTGTTAAAGATGATACGCAATGACGATCAATTCAATCTCAATAACGTAACTTGTTCTGGGATGCATTCCTGTTCAGTCACAAAAGTCATTGATAGAAAATGTACGTAGTTGATAGCACGTCCAAGTATTTAGAAATGATGAGGAAGGCATGGCATAGGCTTTGGCTGCACTGGGCAATCCTCACCTTGTTTGCCAATTAGTTTTCACAACATGGGTGAAGTGGGTATGCAGAGTTGCACTCTAGTCTGGAAACCTACTGGTCAGCACAACTGAAGGGAGAAGATGGGGTGTTCAGCTCAATTGTGAGAAGAAATCAGAGTTTTGCTTAATGGTAGCTTTCAGGTCAGACAACCTGGAGGAGGAAACACAAGGATCCTGATATAGTAATATCTAGGTAAGCAACAGCTGGATTGTATGGTTGACGTTTGATCGTTGACAACAACTACAACATTTACATTTGCTTAGTTTAAACCTGATATTAGTATTGTCATGCTTGAATCCTGATTGGAAAATGAATCTGTAAAACTTCTTCAAAAAGGAAGGGAAGGGACAAGTTAGTATCCAGTTTTGATGCCCCTCAGCTTAATATACTTCATAGAGCAAAAATAGTTCCAATTTCCTTTTGTTGATACGTATTTAAATTTAGTTTCTACCGCAGACTAAAAGACAAAATAAGCAGATGATTCTTCCAGCAGGAAGACAACACAATTGAAAAACAAAAGGAACTAAATCTATAACAGGTGCAAGTGTTCAACTTAACTAATTACAGACCACATACTCACTTTAAGTTTCACTTGCAAGTGCTGCTTTTTTTTAAAAATCAACACAATCTATTTAACAATTGTACATAAACTAGACTTTACTTATATTTTTGAACTCTGATTGTTACTGTCCCCCTTTAGACCAATTATGCACGTTCAGAACCAAGGGTCTGCTTTTGGCAGATAATTTTGTGCAATCCGAGTGAAAGTTAGGACTTTTGAGAGAGTATAAGGGATTTAACATGTGCATTGAATCAATTTTTTTCTGCACTTCATATTTTGTCTGACTGTTTTGCGCGTCAGAAATTAGAGTCACTCAAAGACAAATAACAGCAAAAAGCAATTTTGCCAGTAAAACGTCAGTGATTCAGTTAGTTCGCCACCATATGAAAACAATTTTTCTCTGTTAACCCATTTGATTAGTAATGTCTGGTTGGGCTGGTTATCAAGGTCAGGGCTTCCCAAACTGCTGCAACTCCACTGTAGGCCAGTAAACAAGATTTTGGGGTCATGAGCTTCAAAGTAGTAGTAGTTGCCCAACTGATTGCTGACAGGTTTGTATTCCATTTAAAAAGCTATAGCCAAAGTGACAGTTCAATAAGGCTCAATTCCCGCTACACGAGAGTCTGTGCAAAAAACTAAATGGTCATTCTGCTTGCTGTTTCATCAAATGCCCCATGGAAGACATTGGGAAGATTGTGGTGTCGTGAATGGGACATTGGACTATAATATTATGACCATTATACTGAAGCACACCCCAAATTCTGCTCAACAAGTGAAGGGACCTCCCACTTTGGTCAACCATGTTTGTACCGCCTCCAAACTTGCATCCAGGTTCATGCAAATTAAAATTAAAGAAAACAGAATCACTCCAAAAAAGAAGCTTGTACAGTGTACTCAGAATCTCAGTTGATTATCAACAGTCTTGTGCACAACTTACATGGTACAGACTGTAAATTCATGATATTCATAATCTGTATTGTGCGCACTGGGAGAGAGACTGACTGTGAATCGAATGCAGGGGTCAGTTCACTCAAATCATTACCGAGAACACAGGATTTTTAAATAGATGCAAGAGACCCTCCATACCATGAGTCAACATTGACAAATGCATTCGAACAGGTCATCTCATCTCCAGCTACTTCATCATTCAAATGCCCACCAATATCTCAAGACAGGACAAAACAGCATAACGCACAAAACAAATCATTACTACACTTGGAATGAGTAATGCTTCATATGTACTTTTAAGTGCACCTACAGCTCATTTCTTCTGTCTGTAAGTATTTAAAAAACTTAGTTCCAAACAAAGAATACGTAAAAGGTGCTGAGGTCATAAGCAAACTTTCTCTGCTCAGTATATAGTGCAAATATTTCAAAATAATGAAACATAAATTATTGATATGCACAACAGAATGTGGTACTTTTACAAAATGCCAGTGGACCTTGGTACATTGTGCATTATACATCACATGTAGGCAGGAGCTCAACACTAATAAAAATTAAGTTGACCGTATTTCATTCCAGAGGGCTGAAATGTTTCACAGTTTTTGAAGTGCAAATGTTTTCAATTTCACTATTTTCTGAACTTTCCAACTGACTAACTGTGGAAAACTGCACTACTTTTGATTCACAACTACAGGGTATCTCAAAACATCTCTGAATAGGTTGATGAGAAAATATTTATATCTAAGAAATACATCTACAATCGTTTCTCGTGGTCCCAAAATGGTATCCTTAATACTGCTTTTACACTCAAAATCAAGTAATTACTACATACTTTCAATTTGAAGATACAATTTATTGATTTTCCCTAACAAACTGAAATACATGAAAAAAATCAAAGATGGGGTAAGCACACATTTCCCCAACTTAAAAATGCAATCCAAAATTGAGGGTAGAACTTGATACCAGATAGAGTATAGACAGCAGAATTTTGCCTGAGCTTAAGGTGTATAGAAGAAGATGGAACAGCAATGCAATAGTGGAATTTAAGGCTAAGGCAAATGCAAATGTTGGCAGAATTAAGTGGTCTCTGCGATGGGGAGATATGGGTTAGAAGCTCCACTCAAGGAAAGTGAGAAGGCAAGGACATGAATGTAGTTCTGCCCACAGTAGTGACTGGAAATGTGGATGAGGAGAATGACCAGTGTTTTTGCTAGTGACTGAAAATAACCGCAATTTGTAAATTGCATTAAGCACAAGCAGGTTGACGACAGAGGCAGTGAAATACTTGAAAATGGTGATGAGAGAGCAGGATATCATTAACGCACGTAGAATTTAAATGCATGCCTCTGGACCAAACTAGTTTAGGCAAGACAACCTGCCTCACAACACAAATGGTGCTCTCAAAATTAATTATGCATCTATGGCGCCAATGATAAAATTTCTGCAATTTAGTGACCTATGACCCAATTCATTTGCCAACATCCGTTTTGAGACTGACCTAACAAGTCCTACACATGCTATACTACCTTATTTAACTCCTATCGTCTCCAGCCACAGCAAGTTTACATTGTGGAGGACTGAAGTTATCTGAACTACATAGCCGCTCATTTTTAAGCCAAAGTTAACAAAAAAGGTTGCATCTGTAAAACACAATGAAAAATTATACAGCGTCAGCTCAAAGCTTGCATCAGGGTAGAAATACACAACGCTTAGAGAACAAGTTTATAATCACGAAACAAGATACATTCAGTCTTGACAAAAAAAAACAACTTTTTTTCATTTTTACAATCCCATTTGAAACTTTCAAAATCATAACCAAACAAAGAACCTTTCATCTGCTGTCAGGAGCACAGTCAGGTACATGTGCTGGTATAAAATTAGTATTCAAATGGACCTGCACTTTCAAGAAATTGGATTGAGACTACTCTGATTAATTAAATGCACCCCAAGTGCTGCGCAATATTAAATATTTTACGTAGCAATGGCAAGGCGGAGATTCACGAGTGGTGTTCCAGAGAGCAAGACCAAGATAGTTGGAGGACCAACCACTTAGAAAGAATTGAAATTTGGAAATGCACGATGCTATACTTGGCCAGTTCTTTACACTCATCCAATTTATGGAGTATAATTTTTTCCCCTCAATGTATCGAAGACATAAATGGGAGTAAATTGAAGTGTTTTCTAACTAGCTATTTCATGCAATGAGCTTCAAATTGCCATGAGACAAACTCAGCATGTAAAAGAAACATTCAGACAAAAGCAAAGTGGGTGAGATGGCCCATCAAATGTGCCTCGCCTCTTAGGCCACGGTCGATCTAATCACCGAAAGATCCACTTTCTTGCCTTGGCTCCATAACCCTTGATTCCTTTATTGATTAAAAATTTATTCCAAATGTTAAATATACCCAAAGACCAGTCCTCTGCAGTGAAAAATTCCACAGATTCCCCATGCTTAGGAGAAAAAAAAAAATCCTCATTCGTCTTAAATTGGTAACCCTTTTATCAGATTATGCCTTCTGATCCTAGACTCGACCACAAGGGGGAACAACCTCTCCACATCTACCCTCTCAAGCTTACTAAGAATCTTACATTTCAATAGTGTGTTCTTTCACTCTTCTAAACACCAACAAGTACAAGCCCAACATACTGAACCGTTCCACGTACATAAACAAATCAATCAATCTAGTGAACTGGAATGCCTTCAATGCCAATATGTGTTGCCTTAAATAAGGGGACTAACAGTGTCAACACTATTGTATGCAGTCTGACTAGTGCCTTGTACAGAAAGGTTTTCAAGTTAAGAAGTCACATTGAACCACTAGTTCATAGATTTAGGTTTATATGCATCACTAGAAATGTATTGTAACCCTGAAGCACTTACTGCCAAACATTAAGAATAGGATTGAGCACATTCCAAAGAAAGCATTGTGCCCTTTACTGCAACTAAAACATAGAATATACATTCAAGAAACTTCCATAATGTGCAACCGCTTTAAAGGAATTAAGGCAAGAGGAATTTTACCAAAGTAATCACAGAAGGAGAATGAGAAACAGGCAGTACAAGAATAAAGTCTGTCACCTGAGGAGGGTAGTTGCTTTCGGAGGACCACCTTGAAGATTGATCGTGAGGTTTATCCACCAAAATATTTCTGAAAACAAACACAACTTGATTAGTTTTGCAGTCAACGTCCTTTCCCTCAAGCAGAGCACGTATCTCTATATAGTCTTGTCTGAAAGCAAAGTGGGTTTGTCCAGTTCTTTAACCATTTCTTCACATGTAGAAGATTCATTAAGTATCAAGGTAAAGATACCTATAGTGCCTTAATTGTGTAATGTTCAACCATAATTAAAGAGAATTTGATTCTGAAACTTTTAAAGTAAAAGTTGCCAAATTTGCAACCTTGCACATAGTTACCAAGAAAAACAGAAGATGCTGGAAACATGTTTGAGTTAAGAATAAAAAGCATTAACATTAACTTTCGCAGACACAAGTGGACATCACTAAGCTATATATGGCAAAAAAAAACAGACACAGTAATCAGCTTTTTGGCCCAGTAGACAAGGTGGCCTGCAAATTTAACAACAATTGTTACAAATCAGGAAGACAGTCTCAGACACGCTGATCCCTTACACTTGCCTCCAGTTTAACATATCACATATGCTGACAAACACTGAAGTCACCCACTGAAACACAACTGCAGACACGAAGGCTCAAAATCCTACAACTTCATTTTTAAACTCATTCATGGGGGGTGAGCATCCCTGGGTGGGCCAGCATTTATTGCTACCTGTAAGGTGGTGGGGTAAGCTAACTTCTCCAACTGCTGCAGTCCATTTAGTGCAGGTACAGCCACACTACCATTGGTGGAGTTCCAGGATTTTGATCCAGTGACATTGAAGGATCAGCAACATATTTCCAAGTCAGAATGATGAATTGCTTGAAGAGCAACTAGAAAGTGGGTCATGTTCCTATTTATCCACGGCTCTTGTCCTTTTCGATGGTAATAGATGAGAGTTTGGAAGGTGCTGGCAAAGCAGCATTGGTGGATTCCTGTAGTATGTCTTCTAGGCGACAGAAACAGTTGCTGAATGATGCTGGCAGAGGGAGCAAAAACAAAAAGGAAGGGACATGGTGCCAGCAAACATGCTGCTTTGGTACCAGCAGCGAGTGCTGTTGAAGCTGCACCCATTCAGTCATGTGGGAAGTCTTCTGCCACTCTCCTTACCCCTCCCTTGTATGGGGTGGAGAGAGTCAGGTAGTGAGTTATTTGCTGCAGACAGTATTCCTATCTTCTGACCTATACGTGTAGCCACGAGTATATGGCTCATCCACTTCAGTTTCTGGTCAATGATAACCCCAGAATCTCTCTCGACGGAGATGATCATGGTCTGGCATTTGTGGGGCACTTGACCCTTGTCAGCCGAACCTGGATTTTGTCGAGGTCATAGGGCATGGGGCATGTGGACATGGAAGGTTTCAATATGAGCCATTGCTCATGTTGCTGAACATCATACAATCATCAACGCATATCCCCACTTTGACCCCATGATGGAAGGAAGGAAGTAGATGAAGATGGTTGGGTCTAGGACACTACGTGGTGGAATGCCTGCAGAGATGTCCTGGGACTGGATGCCTGACCTCCAACAACCATCATCACCTTCATTTACGCTAGGTATGAAACCAACCGGTGAAAATGTTCTTCCCTCCACCCAGCTTCCCCCTCCCCCACCACCAGATGGTACCAGAGTACAACTGTGTACTGCTGATGGCCCAGTCTTGAGTTACTAGACCTGTTTGAAGTCTATCCCATTCAGCATGGTGATAATGCCAACATGATGGAGGGTAGGCTCAATGTGAAGACAGGACTGCATCTCCACAAGGAGTGACCAGTGGTCACTCTTACTGGTACTGTTATGGACAGATGCACCGGAGTCAGGCAATTTGATGAGGATGGAGGTAAAGTACGATTTTCCCTTCTTGTTGATTTGCTCACAATCTGCCACAAACCCAGTCGAGAAGGTACTTTAGAACTTGTCTAGCTTGGTCAGCAGTGGCCACTCTTGGTAATGGATATTGAAGTCACCCACCGAGTATATTTTGCACCCTTGCTACCCTCAAAGCTTTCCCCACATGGCGTTCAACATAAAGAATTAATGATTTATCAGTCAAGGGACGTGGGCCATACATGGTCAACGCTACTTTTACTGTAAATTTTACTGTTCCATTTCCTAATACATGGGAAACTATAATTTTCTGTTTTACAATAGTTGACTTGTGAAAGGTTCAAACCAAGACAAAATCCAAATCAGTGCATCTGCTCATAGGAACATGATACCTAAGAGACGTCTACTATTCTACCCTTTAAAATCTGCTTTGCCATTTGTTCAGATCATGGCTGGTCTAATTATTGTCTCAATGCCACTTTCCTGTCTGCCTCCCCCAATAACTCTCAAGTCCCTGCGAGGATTGTCATTTCATCTAACTAAAAAATAAACTTAGACTTCACTTTATTTTTTCTAAAATCCAGACAGGTAGTCCTCCATGCTGTAAAATCACAAAATTAGTGTAAATTGCACAATATATATTTATCTGACCATGCTGCATTTTATTCATCTTCAAATTATATTACATGTTAATCCCCAGACAAAATCTTAATTTCAGATGTGGGGAGAGGGCAACAAATTCAAATTATCAAATTTGGGTATATCCAAGCAACTACAATGGCAGGAAACTGAAACTAAATCGCCTATTGTTATTACACAAGAGTGCTCCACTACAGAGGAGAAGAAAACTGAAGGAGACAACAATTACCTGAGGGTAAACTCTCATCTCAACACTGCAATTCAAATTTTATCACTCCATTCCTAATCAATGAGATGCTGTGTTTAATATTCAGTTTTTCAATACTCAATGGTCAGTCTCAAGGTAAATCGACGTGTAAATTATATACCTCTCTGTCGTTATGCTAAGAGCAAGTAGTCACTCAGGACTTCACAGCAATTTTTCAGAAAGAAAAGTAAAAAACCATCTTCCAACAGGATCTACATGTATCATGGTTTCAACAATGATGGACATCCAAAGTTGGCTTACTGCTTAAATGAACCATTCTTATTTCAGGTGGACATAGAATAACAAACGTGTTTTAACATTATTTTGATAAAGGAGACAGAACAACTATGAAGCTGCAAATAATTCAAAATTGGTTTGAGTTGCATACTCTTAAATCTTCACCTTTCATCACAACACCACCACAGGGTGAAAGCTTTAGCATGAAAAAAGATAGACAGAAAGTTTGCTATGAAACAAATGCAACAGGATACTAAACAGGACATGAACCAGGACACAAGTTCTCTATCTATGTGTACGGTCGTTAATTTATTCAATGACTCAAGGGTCACGAGACAAAAGTTAAACCCAGCAAGAAATAGTTAAAACCAAAGTTGCAATGACTAAGCACAGAGGATGATGCAAAACATAGCAGGAACTTTGGCTAACTTGGAGATATCAACTTGATCGTTCATGATTCCCGCAGTAAGATGTTTACATATAGGCTTCTAGACATACAGTTTGCACTCTACGTGGTCTTTAGATGAATATTTTTAAGGAATTTAATTTCTTTTCATGCATTGTCAAGATTTGAACTGGCTGGCAAGACTAGCATTTATTGGCCATCCAAATTGCCCACAAGGAGGTGGTGGTGAGTTGTTAGTGGAAAGAGGGAAGGTTTATTGTGACACGGATGTAGTTCCAATCCTCGACTCTGTCAAGACTTTTGCATGTTGTTCGAGTTGATCATCTTTTTAACCCTAACCTTTTAACATAGCCAACAACCACCACTCCCAAGGACTTGGCTTGTTTCAACTGCCTGGAGTCTGCTCACAGCAGCACTTACGCTGCCAAATCACTACCACTTTGACACTCTCCCAGCTCCAAGCGGCCAGTAACTACTCCCAGTGAATCCATAACCAGATAAATTTAAACTAGAGAAACCAAAGCTCCACTCATCTCTAAGGCAACGTAGCCTGTTCCCTATTGTCCTTAACCTGACCTTTAGGGCTCACTGAATCCTTGGTCAGCTAACTTAACTCTAACTCCTGAAGATCTGCTTTTACTGCAAGCTTTGTAGACAGCACGTCTCCAGCGAAGTAATCTGCTGTTTCACAGTTACATTTCTTCTATTTTGATTCTATGAAACAAGCAGCGGTAACCTTCTGAACTGCCTTAACTCCCTGGATGTTAACTTATAAAAGCAACAAGGTCCCAATCTTTTCAATCCTCCAGACTTTCAGATGTGTCAGCTGTATTTATCCCATTTTCTCAGCCCAATTTACCATTACATCCAAGGCAATAATGACCAGCTTTTTATAAGTCTTTCATATTTCGTGCAACATGACAACGTGCCTTTCAATCTCCATGCTTTGCATTAACCATCACTTATGTCTGCCATCGTCATACTTAGTTCAAAGCTTATTTCATCGCAAATAGAATGAAAAGCTGGGAAAATGAATTAAAATCAAAAAGCAGTGATCAGAATGGAATCCAATATGCCAGCCAAACATTTGCAGCAACATGATTCCAAAAACTAGATGCAAGATAAACCATTCATTTCTGCACCAGGAGATCTTTTGGCAAAAAAGTTTATTCACCCAAAAGCATTGCCCTGAATTCACAGCAGGACAAGGTGCTATCTTGCAGCTAAATCTGCCAGCATCATAGCTGCCAAACTTCTCTCTTTGAGCAAGGTGAGCTAAGGTTTTATTGACAGCAGGATCAAGTCATGAACAGGTTTTAAATTATTCTGCCATTCAACTTATCCAGAGACAAAACATGACTTGATATTCCTCACAGCTAAGACGCAACCACTGTATATGCTGCAGCCCACAATGGCAGGAATACTAAATTCACAAAGAAAATAATAGACTGTGGATGCTGGAAATCAGAAACTACTGAAAAACTCAGGTCTGGCAGCATCTGTGGAGAAAACGCAGAACTAATGTTTCATGTCTGGTGACCCTTCTTCAGATCTCTGCTTTTTCTCTACAGGTGCTGACAGACGTGCTGATTTTTCGAGCAATTTCTGATTTTATGACTCAATTTACACTTGAGCGTGCGCTACACGAGTCTGACAGCAAGATCACAATTTGTATG